GCCCATCGTCCTGCCCGCGATGCTTGCGGAGGGGGCGGCGGGGACCGGGGTCCGAGCCCCGCTGGCACCAGGGGGGCTGTAATCCGCCCTCCCCCCGCCGGCTTTCCGAGGCGCAAGGCTGCCCGGTTGGCAAGCGGGGCAGCCGGTCGTGGGAAGGGTGGAGAAGTAACGGGAGATCTTGTCCCGCCGCGGTGGGGTGGATTCAAGGAGCCGCGGCCAAGCACGCGTCTCGCAGGTTGTTTGAAAGCTGCGCTGACCGTCGGTGGGCTCAACACGCGACTCTTACGCCCTTCCCACGACCAGCAGATCCGGAAGCCGGAGAATTTTTTCCTTTTTTCCTCTTTTTCCTTTGCCCGCCGGGAAGTTGCCATGAAATGTGGGCTTTTCTACTTTTAGGAAACGGGGCGCGAGAGCTTTTCCACGGACTGCGGGCTTCCCGCATCGGCCTGGCGCTAAGACAGGGAGCTGAACGGGATGTGCACGGGGATTTTTGCACGGAAATGTCTAAGTTTTCATTAAAATAAAAAATAAACTCTGTAATTTGTCATTCGTCTGGTAACGAGAATTCTCGGTGGGTGGGTTCAGTGGACCTGAGATCTGCTCCAGAAATTATACGAGAAATGTGCATGCACAGAATGGTGCGTATGTATGTGCGTGTCTTTGTGTGTACACACCCACACACACCAAGGCGACCGAAACGAAGATCCGAAAGCTTTCGCGTTCTTCAGGTCCTATTTACTCCCGCATACGCGGAGGAAAATAGCAATAATAGACAATAGAAGAATAAATGTGGATTCGCTTTGAACCTTTTTTTAAATTCCACTTTATTATGGATGGGTTGAGTGCACTGGGGCTTTGTATTGTTTTATTAATTATTTTGTTTGGGACATGATTCTATCGTTTATGATTTGATTTCGGTTTGTAATTTATTGTATTATGGGTGGGAATTGTATTCTGTATTTTGTTCTGCTTTGCTTATTTTATTTTATTTTATTTTATTTTATTTATCATTCCAGGCAGTTCATACGTCCTTCTGAGTCTCACTTAGCTCTCTACGCCTGGAAATTTCTATTACTGTTACTGGCTGAGGATCCTTTTCTTTCTAAATCACAGACCCCCTCAAAACAAACACACCTTCCCCACTCCCCCCGAAACCCCACTTAGATCAACCCCAGTTTCATCTTTCAAAAAATAACCCATTTTACGAATGGCAGTGATCCCCCCCTTTCCTCCTTCAAGCAAACGCCTCCCCCGCCCTGCCCAACAATTCCCTCTTTGGGGAATTTGTCTGAAACAAGTTGGTTTCCTCCGAATCAGAAATGAAGGTTTAAAAACAAGTGGATGGATCACAAATGGGGTGAACCAGCTTCTAGCCACGATGACGATGATAGGAAGTTGGTTCATCTCCAACCTGCTCCGCGTCTCTGTTGTTTTTCATCCGCTGTGTTTAGCGCACTCATCCCAAGGAAAATGGCCTCATTTATCACCATGTGATTGCTATTATTAATGCTGCTGCTATTATTATTATTATTATTATTATTATTATTATTATTATTATTATTATTAGCCACACACTCAAAATATTCTCAGTGTTCTCTGCTCAAGAAAAGGGTCTCTTTTTAAAAAGGTATCTATGCTCCACCGATATTTCGTGCTTCTCTTTGTGGCCCTTTGGGGATATTGGGTGTCTGTGTGTGTGTGTGTGTGTGTGTGTGTT